CATTATAGAAATCTGAGCCCCGACGAATAGAAATAGTTTCACGTTTCGGAATCGGCGGAGTGGAGAGCTATCGCCGAGGGGGCCAGTGCCGCGATCGCGCATCCTCCTGACCAGGCCAAGGAGCTGAGGACGCTCTTTCCTAATCGAACAGCGTCCAGCCGCATGGTGAGAAGGTGGAAACCGCAGGAAGGGGACCTTTGCGAGACCCAAGACCAAATCGAGGTGGTGCGCGCGTGGGCACCAAGATGAAGACACCTGCGAACTGCAGGTATGCGCGCCCACCCCGTGTATGGAGGTGCTGATGCTGTTTCTCGTGGTGTCACTAATGTACAAGCTTGTGATTTACATAGGAGACATTCAGAATGCGTTTTGTCAGTCAGAGCCCCTGAATAGGGCTCAGGGGCGCGTTTTCGTCGAACCATGCGACGGGGTGCCAGTGCCGCCAGGATCTCCCATCGAGCTCATACCCCCAGCTTACGGTTTGGATGATGCCCCATGTAGCCTTTCACATCACATCAGCTAACTTCATACACGCCCAGAGCTTCGAGAGGACCAAGTTAGAGCCGTGCTGGTTTGTGAAGCGCCCCGACCGTGGGCTGGAGACCCAGGTGCTCGTCGAAGTCGACGACTGAGCCATCGCGTTCAAGCCCGGGTCAGAGGATCAGTGCATCAAGCACTTCAAGTCCATGTTTGCGCTCGGGAAAATGCGTCTCCTTGACGCCGGAGGGGTCGAGTGCATCGGGAGGAGGTTAAGGTTAGACGGGGGTCGTATCCTGGTGGGCCAGGAGAAATACATGTTAGAACAGCTCCAGAAGATCCCTCTGGTCCGAGGCAGTAAAAGGGGGCTACGGGGCCCTCTTGCTAGGCGGCGAGGTGGCAGCTTTTAGATCTCTCGTTTATATGTCGCAGTGGGTAGGTCGCGAGACCAGAGCGGAGGCCGCCGGCGCGGCTTCGATTTTGGCCACGAAGGTCAACGGCCCCTGCGTTCGAGACCTGCTCAACGCCAATAAGATGGTAGACCATCTTCGTTCGACGGCCTCGTTTTTCGTCATCGCGTGGCGCTTCGAGCCAGGCGGATTCACTCTGGCGACAGCCAGCGATTGCGGCGGAGTGGGGGCGGAAGACAAAGATGGCCTGCAGCGTCCCCATAAGTCGTGGCAGATATTTATCGCTGACAATTCCTTGGCTCACGGATCTCGAGCTCGCGTCGCGCCGGTTGCTTGGAGATGTGGAACAGTCAGGCCGCAGGTGTCTTCTACTCTCGCCGGGGAAACTCTGTCCCTGTCCAACGCTCTTGGGGAAGCCGAGCGGTTTCAAATACTGTTGTTGGACGTAGTTCGATGAAACGCGGTACGCGAGAAGTGGAGAGAGCACATCGGTCTTTCCGTCGCCATTCTGGAGAACGAATGCCAGGCTCTTGCATGGTGAGCCCCAGTCTGGGAACATCAGCGTGGTCGACGCCAAGGGTATATACTACGCGCTCTCTAAGCTCACGGCAGGGTCCAAGTCGGACCGGCGGGCAGCCATTGACCTAGCTGTGGTCAGGACCTCCATGGAGAAAATCGGGAGTGCGATCCGGTGGATGCCACGTCCGCTGATGCCGGTCGACTGCATGACCAAGTCAGATCTAGCTAAGACCAATGCCGCGGAGCTGACGCTGCTCAAGTCAGGTATGCTCCGCCCCACTGCCGAAGAGTCCTCCATTCAGGGGGGGAAGGAGGACCCCCCGACCAAGGGGCGCCCCAGGGCCGAGTCGAGGCGACAGCCCCCGTAGGTTTCCCATGGTTGGCTGTCCTTCCCGCTCCGCGCTCAGTGTGCCCCGAGGAGAAGCGGGTCGAGGTTCCGTAGCGCGGTCAGCGCTGAAAAAGCTCCCTTTTTGCCTCCGCGCCCATCTCTCGCAGCCCCGGCGACTGCCTTTTCAATTAACACCATCTGGCCAGAGAGGAGCGACCATGCGCTCCGTTTTGCGCCGCAGTTGCTGGTGCAAGAGAGTTGATTCAGGCACGAGGACGGAGTCCATCGTGCCAAACCTTGCTTCGTTGTCTTTTCCGACCCTCCAGGCAAGGTGGATGGTCCGGTCTTCCCCGCTTCAGGCTCATTGTTTTTTCTGGGCACTGTGCGATCGAGCGCCTCTGGCGGGTAACTTCGGCGAGCCCCCCAAAGTCCTGAGCTTGATAGTGCTTGCAGGGGCGGGGGCTGGATCATAATCACTTTGGCTCAAGTCCTTTCTTCGCAAGCCGAGCCCGACCCGACCTACCCTCACCCCCCATATCTCTTACACCCACCCTCCCTCTTCCATGCCCACCTGGAGGGTCACTGTGCTGATGGACGAACGCCTGGGAGTTACTGATCAGAGGGGACTTCGCTGGGACGAGGTCACCGTTGCCTCCGTTAGCGTCATCGTCAGGGGAACAGTATTGTTATTGCTATTATTATTGCTGCGACTACGCTTACTACTACGTCCACTACTACGAGTACGACGGCTACTGCTATTTCTACCATTACGTTTACTGATACTACTACTGCTAATGCTACTACTACTACTACTACTACTACTACTACTACTACTACCACTACTACTACTACTACTACTACTACTACTACTACTATACTACTACTACTACTACTACTAATACTACTACTACTACTACTTACGACTACTACTATACTACTCCTACGATAATAAACTACTACTAGTACTACTATTACTTACTACTACTACTACTACTACTACTACTACTACTACTACTACGACTACTACGGACCACTTACTAGTATTTCTACTAACTAACACGACTACGGCTATCGGTTCATACTGTACTTACTATTACGCACAACTCCTACTAATAATACTACTATACTACTACTACTACTACTATCACATACTACTCCCTACCACTACGACTTTTTACTATACTACTTACTACTACTACTGACTATACTACTACTACTGAATACTATACTACTCTTATACTACTACTACGACGACTACTACGGAATAACGACGACTATTACTCTTGTACTACTAACTACTATACTTACTCTATTACTACTCACTATATAACTTACTATTACTACTTACTACTACCGCGACTACTATTCTCTTTACTACCATTACTACTACTACCCCTACTTACTACTACATACTACTACTACTTACTTAATACTACTATACTTCTTCTACTACTACTACACGTACACTACACCTTACTACACTACGACTACTACTATACTATAATCGAATATTACATAATAACACTACTATTACTACTACTGTTTACCACTGCTCCTACTGCTGCTGCTGTTATTATCACTACTACTACTACTACTACTACTACTACTACTACTACTACTACTACCACTACTACTACTACTACTACTACTACTACTACTACTAGTACTAGTACTAGTACTACTACTACTACTACTACGAGTACTACTACTACTACTACTACTACTACTACTACTACTACTACTACTACTACTACTACTACTACTACTACTACTACTACGACGACTACGACCACCACTACTACTACACTATTACCAATAACTTACAACGAGTACTACTACTACGAACACCTACTACCACGACTGCGATTTCCACTCCGATTGCTACAATACCTTTTTGTCACGACTCTGCACTCTTCCCCACGTGCTTAGTGGATTGTTTGTATTTTTCCCCGCCCTCGTCGCGCCCACGAAGCTTACACCTCCCCCCCTCCCCCTTTTTGTTGTTCCTCCCCTCGCCCGCGCATAACGCATACACGGCGCGTGCATGAGTCGCGCATCTACATGCGGCCGCGCGCATGCAGGCGCCCGCACACGCACGCACATCAACAACGCCAGTGCGCGCCTGGCGTGTTCACTGCATCATGCACCCACGACGTATGCGCCACATACTGGGCACCTACATGAGACACGTCCAGATACAGCCGCACACGCATCATACACATGACACGTACTGCGCGCCCACATGAGACACACGTCGAGATACAGCCGCGCACGCACTATACACACACCCTACGCATCAGACACATCGCGCAAATTGTGGCAGGGGGCTACCTTTTCTCGATGGCACGGGGGGGGGGGGGGTCCTCATCCGTCGTACGCCCGCACTGTGGCAGGGGTGACATTTTCTCGATGCCACAGGGGGGTGCTGGAGGGGACCTTATCCGCCGTACGCTCGCAAAGTGTGGCAGGGGGGGGGGAGGCATTTTCTCGACGCCGCAGGGGGCGTGTTGGGGGTGGGGTCTTTTTCCTTCGTGCGCTCACAAAGTGTGGCAGGGGTAGCAGTTTCTCAATGCCACACGGGTGTGCTAGGGGTGGGGTCCTTTTCCGTCGTGCGCTCGCAAGGTGTGGCAGGGGTCAGACTTTGCGCTGGGCTCTTTTGCAAAGGAGGGGGGGCAAAAGAGGAATCAGTAGAGTAACCCATGATCAATCATGCGTGCCGTGGCCACGCGCGCGCTTCAATAGTTGGAATTGTGGAGCTGAGACAAGGGCCCAAAGACGACACGTCCTGGCCGTTGCGATCATTGAAATACATACTCGGGTTGAGGTGGTGTCACGCCTCATGCTCCCCGTCGTGACTGGCGCTCACTGGTTTTCGCCTAGCTTCCATTCGACATGATGTTTGTAGCCATCCGAATTTGTCCTCCTACATCCTCCTCCGCTCTGATGGGTACGACTACCGTGATGGACGTGATGTGTTATCGGAGGGACCTTTCTGCCAGCGATCTGTGTTCAGACTGATTTGGGAAGTACTCGCGGATACCGTTGCGAGTCGTGGCAGATTGGGGCCGCGTCGATTGTGTTAGTATCGCCCCCACATCTTTTCACTGCTCCGCACCCCCCTCAGCTCGCCTCCTTCTTCTCCTGTTGCAGTGGGGTGGCTTCCGGGGGGGACCCGCGAGGAGCGGATGGTTGAACCGGCGATCTTGCGAGAGGAAGCAGGGACCTCCGTTTTCTACCTTCCACCGCCTTCCTCCTCGCCAGCTCAGGAGCAGCAGCCCTCCCGGCGAGGCGGCAGCGCACCGGGCGCACCGCGCAAGCGCTCTCGTTCTCGCTCGCGCTCGAGGAGCAGGTCGAAGAGGCCTGTCTTCCTCGCCGTTGTTGGTTGTCGTCGTCTGTTGTCCTCGATATTTATCGACGGAATTTGTTGACGCCCGTCAGTCCTCGGTGGTGTTCGTCGGTCTTCGTTGGTTTGCAGCGGTTTTGCCAGGTCATCGGCAGATTCCGGAGGTTCCCCAATGGCTCGCGAGAACGTTCAGGAATGAGGCGGAGGGAGTAGGAGATGATGATAATTGGATTGCCCCAACACTCCTCTGGTTGGGTTCTCGTTCCGAATAGCGTCTTCCTGCATCCCCCTCCTTCTTTCGGTTCCCTGGTGGGATCCAGATTAGACCTCGCGGTTCCTTGGGGGGCTGCGAATTGTCCAATTGTCTCAATTTTCGTGGGCTCTTGGAAGGCACAGCGGAGTGGAGCTGTGCGCAGACCTAACCGAGACATCGCCGCTCCTTGGTGGTGTTCGAACTGCGCAAGGATCTCCATTCTCGTGGGCTCCTGGGAGGAGGTCCCGCGGAGTGGAGTGGCAGGCCGATCCAGGCGAGACTTCGCGGCTTCCTGGGGGGTTGCTGAGTGCGCAATTGTCGCCTCCTTTCGTGGGCCCCCGGGAGGGCCTGCGGAGTGGAGTGGCGCGCGAATCTAGGCGAGACGGCGAGACCTCGCGGCTCCCTTGGCTTCTTGGGAGGCCAGCGTACGTTGTGTGCGAAGTGCGCAATTGTCGCCACGTTCGTGGTCTCCAGAGGCCCAGCAGAGTGGAGGAGTAATCACGCACATCCAGCTGAGACCTCCCTGCTCCCTGGTTTCTTGGGCGCTATACGGGGCCGTTAGGAGCTTTTCGGGCCCTTTCGGAACAATCCTCGAGGCCATCGAACTCATCGGACTAACAGAGCATGGTCCCAATCAGCGTCGCCCCTGATGAGCCCGACACATCGCATCTCGGGGCACTTGGGGCCCTCGTGGAGTGCCCTGCGGGGTCTTTGCAATCCTCCTGGGGCCGTCCTTTGCGTGTGGCAGCCCAGCGAGGGAAGCGGGTCGGGCTCAATGGTTTCCACCAGGCAATGTTACCCACCGGTCGTTGAAAGTAGGTATTTTTGGATTCCCAGATCCCAATCTACTTTAAGCGCCTTCCTATTTCAAGAATCTATATTTTTTGTTTTTTGGGGGGGCGGGCGCAAACCTAATCTACTTCTAGGGTTTGGTTGTCACTTCCCTGGGCGACGCTGGTCGCTCGGCCCCTCGGCTGGCCCCATTCCTTGGTTTTGATTGTTTTGTTTGTTTTCGCTTGTCCGTCGGCTGCTCTGGTCGCCCCAGTGTCGCCCGCCGCCCCGCGGTCGCTCGGCCTGGCCCCACTATTTGGTTTTGTTTGTTTTTGTTTGTTTTCGCTTGCCCGTCGGCTGCACTGGTCGCCCCAGGCTCGCCCACCTCCCCGCGGTCGCTCGGCCCCTCGGCTTGCCCCATGCAATGGTTTTGTTTTTGTTTTGTTTTGTTTTTTTTCGCTTGTCCGTCGGCTGCACTGGTCGCCCCGGGCTCGCCCACCTCCCCGCGGTCGCTCGCCCCCTCAGGTTGCCCCATTCCTTGGTTTTGTTTGTTTCTGTTTGTTTTCGCTTGTCCGTCGGCTGCACTGGTCGCCTCAGGCTCGCCCGCCGCCCCGCGGTCACTCGGCCCCTCGGCTGGCCCCACTCCTTGATTTTGTTTGTTTTTGTTTTTTTTCGCTTCTCCGTCGGCTGCACTGGTCGCCCCAGGCTCGCCCGCCGCCCCGCGGTCGCTCGGCCCCTCGGCTGGCCCCATGCACTGGTTTTGTTTGATTCTGTTTGTTTTCGCTTGTCCTTCGGCTGTACTGGTTGCCACAGGTTCGCCCGCCGCGTCTCGGTCGCTCGGCCCCTCGGCTGGCTCATTTTTTTGTTTTGTTTCCTTTTGCTTGTTTTCGCTTGTCCGTCGGCTGCACTGGTCGCCTCAGGCTCGCCCGCCGCCCCGCGGTCGCTCGGCCCTTCGGCTGGCCCCATTCCTTGTTTGTTTGTTTCTGTTTTGTGTTCGCTGTCTCCTCGCTGCACTGGTCGCCCAGGCTCGCCCCCGCCTTTCGGTCGCTCGCCCCCTCGGCTGGCCCCATTCCTTGGTTTTGTTTGTTTTTTGTTTGTTTTCGCTTGCCCGTCGGCTGCGCTGGTCGCCCCAGGCCCGCCCGCCGCCGTTCGGTCGCTCGGCCCCTCGGCTGGCCAAATTCATTGGTTTTGTTTGTTTTTCTTGTCCGTCGGCTGCACTGGTCGCCCTGCGCACACCCGCCGCCTTTCGATCGCTCGGCCCCACGGCTGGCCCCATTCCCTGGCTTTCTTTGTTTCTGTTTGTTTTCGCTTGTCCGTCGGCTGCACTGGTCGCCTCAGGCTCGCCCGCCGCCGTTCGGTCGCTACGCGAGGCCCCTCGCTGGCCAAATCATTGGTTTTGTTGTTTTTGTTTGTTTTTCGGTTGTCCGTCGGCTGCACTGGTCCCTCGGCTCGCCCGCCCGCCCTGCGTCTGCTTCGCCTCTCGCTGGTCGATTTCTTGTGGTTGTTTTGTTCGTTTCGTTTGTTTTGCTTGTCGCGTCTGCCTGCACTGGTCCGGCCCCAGGCTCGCCCGCCGCCCCGCGGTCGCTCTGCCCTCGGACGGCGCCATTATGGTTTGTTTGTTGTTTTGTTTTTCGCTGTCGGTCGCTGCGCTGGTCTCTCCCCTCTCGCCCGCCGCCCCGCGGTCGCTCGGCCTCTCGGCTGGCCCCATTATTTGGTTTTGTTTGTTTGTGTTTGTTTGTTTGCGCGTGTCCGTCGGCTGCACTGGTCGCCCCAGGCTCGCCCGCCGCCCCGCGGTCGTTCGGCCCCTCGGCTGGCGCAATTAGTTGGGTTTGTTTGTTTTTGTTTGTTTTCGCCTGTCCGTCGGCTGCAATGGTCGCCCCAGGCTCGCCCGCCGCCCCGCGGTCGCTCGGCCCCTCGGCTGGCCAGATTCGCTGGTTTTCTTTGTTTTTGTTGGTTTTCGCTTGTCCGTCGGCTGCACTGGTCGCCCTGCGCACGCCCGCCGCCTTTCGGTCGCTCGGCACCCCGGCTGGCCCCAGTCCTTGGTTTCGGTTGGTTTCTGTTTGTTTTCGCTTGTCCGTCGGCTGCACTGGTCGCCTCAGGCTCGCCCGCCGCCTTTCGGTCGCGCTGCCCTGCCCCTCGGCTGGCCAAATGCTTAGATTTGTTTGTTTTTGTTTGTTTTCGCTTGTCCGTCGGCTGCGCTGGTCGCTCCAGGCTCGCCCGCGGCTTTTCGGTCGCTCGGCCCCTCGGCTGGCTCATTTCCGTGGTGTTGTTTGTTTTGGTTTGTTTTCGTTTGTCCGTCGGTTGTACTTGTGGCCCCAGGCTCGCCCGCCGCATTTCGGTCGCTCTGCCCCTCGGCTGGCCGAATTCAATTGTTTTCTTTGTTTTGTTTGTTTTCGCTTGTCCGTCGGCTGCACTGGTCGCCCCAGCCTCTCCCGCCGCTTTCCGGTCGCTCGGCCCCTCGGATCGCCAAATTCATTGGGTTTGTTTGTTTTTGGTTTGTTTTCGCTTGTCCGTCGGCTGCACTGGTCGCCCCAGGCTCGCCCGCCGCCTTTCGGTCGCCCGGCCCCTCGGCTGGCCCCATTCCCTGGCTTTCTTTGTTTCTGTTTGTTTTCGCTTGTAGGGAATGGGGCCAGCCGAGGGCTCCGAGCGACCGAAAGGCGGCGGGCTGCGGCAGGCGACCAGTGCAGCCGACGGACAAGCGAAAACAAACAAAAAAACAAACAAAACCCATGCATTTGGCCAGCCGAGGGGGCGAGCGACCGCGGGGCGGCGGGCGAGCTTGAGGCGACCTGTGCAGCCGACGGACAAGCGAACACAAACAAAAACAAACAAAGCCAGTGAATTGGGCCAGCCGAGGGGCCGAGCGACCGAACGGCGGCGGGCGGGCCCGGGGCGACCAGTGCAGCCGATGGACAACCGAAAACAAACAAAAACAAACAAAACCAATGCATTTGGCCAGCCGAGGGGCCGAGCGACCGAAAGGCGGCGGGCGAGCCTGAGGCGACCAGTGCAGCCGACGGACAAGCGAAAACAAACAGAAACAAAGAAAGACAGGGAATGGGGCCAGCCGTGGGGCCGAGCGATCGAAAGGCGGCGGGCGTGCGCAGGGCGACCAGTGCAGCCGACGGACAAGAAAAACAAACAAAACCAGTGAATTTGGCCAGCCGAGGGGCCGAGCGACCGAACGGCGGCGGGCGGGCCTGGGGCGACCAGCGCAGCCGACGGGCAAGCGAAAACAAACAAAAACAAACAAAACCGATGCATTTGGCCAGCCGAGGGGCCGAGCGACCGCGGGGCGGCGGGCGAGCCTGAGGCGACCAGTGCAGCCGACGGACAAGCGAAAACAAACAGAAACAAAGAAAGCCAGGGAATGGGGCCAGCCGGGGGCCGAGCGACCGAAAGGCGGCGGGCGTGCGCAGGGCGACCAGTGCAGCCGACGGACAAGCGAAAACAAACAAAACACACACAAAACCAGTGAATTCGGCCAGCCGAGGGGCCGAGCGACCGAACGGCGGCGGGCGGGCCTGGGGCGACCAGTGCAGCCGACGGACAAGCGAGAACAAACAAAAACAAACAAAACCAGTGCAGTTGGCCAGCCGGGGGGCCGAGCGACCGCGGGGCGGCGGGCGAGCTTGGGGCGACCAGTGCAGCCGACGGACAAGCGAAAACACACAGAAACAGAGAAAGCCAGGGAATGGGGCCAGCCGAGGGGCCGGAGCGACCGAAAGGCGGCGGGCGCGCGCAGGGCGACCAGTGCAGCCGACGGACAAGCGAAAACAAACAAAAGCAAACAAAACCAATGCATTGGGCCAGCCGGGGGGCCGAGCGACCGAACGGCGGCGGGCGGGCCTGAGGCGACCAGTGCAGCCGACGGACAAGCGAAAACAAACAAAAACAAACAAAACCAATGCATTTGGCCAGCCGAGGGGCCGAGCGACCGCGGGGCGGCGGGCGAGCTTGAGGTGGCCAGCGCAGCCGACGGACAAGCGAA